TAAAAGTCATCTCTGAACCTGTAGAAATTCAAAGGGGCAATCACACAAACAGGTAACTAGGACCAGCCTTGTGTGTATCCAGCTCAGAGTTTTTTGTGTGTTCACCAATGTTATTGTACCCTTTCACTACTGTCAGAAATTTTACTAATCAACAGAGGAAATTAGCAAAACCAATAAAAAAAAATTTGCAGGGACAATTTAGGGATGATGGAACACTAAGCAGTAAATATGAAAAAAACTAACCCAGATCCACTAGATACAACTGAACCCATTTTTTTGGAACTATACACTCACTACACTTGGAAAACCAAAGAGATAATAGAACAATAGCAAGTTGCAAATCATTCATACAACCACAATCTATCCGGTATAACAAAGGATTTCCAGACCATAGTAGAGTAATCAGTACAGGATTTCCAAACCATAGTAGAGTAATCAGTACAGGATTTCCAGACCATAGTAGAGTAATCAGTACAAGATTTCCAGACCATAGTAGAGTAATCGCTATTAAACAGATAAATGCAACAGAATTTATACCATAGGTGAATAGCATATATGAAAGGAAAGTGATGTATCTAACTTTTGGAATTCAGCATAACCGAATTTGGAGTTCAACTCAGATTGCCCTACATGTCCACTACAAAATGGAAAGTATAAAATAAAGAAAAACCCATAGAAACTTGACAAGCAGAACATATCAACACCCTACTGATATATCTCAACTGCACAAGACTTGCAAAACTGAAGAGCAGGTCCTAATTCCTTAGTCGTCGAAGCCGAAAAGACCGCCACCCAAACCCATTTCCTACAAAAGAAAAAGAAATGAATTTAGGTATATAACAAATAAAAAATACCAGGTTATAGGGGTTTTCGCCTTTTCGGTTATCAAAACAAAAATACACGGTTCTTACCTCTTCGGAATCCTCCTCTTCAACCTTTTCTTCTTTCTTTGCTTCTGCTGCAGCAGGTGCAGCTGCTGGAGCACCACCACCAGAAGCTGCAACAGCCATTGGGGCGCCACCACCAGAGGGGACAGAAGCCAATTTCTCTCTTCCAGATGCAACGAGCTCTGTTATGTCCTTACCCTTAACTTGAGATAGGAGCAACTCAATTTTATCATCTTCTGCCTCAGCACAAACTGAAATTTACACCAATATAATTCATGTTAGAATACCATTGTTGTTAAGAACATATGTTATACAGAAAAAGCACTTGTACTAGGCACATCTATTTCAACAAATAAGCAAATCAATCTCTTCAAATTCTAATACTTGTAATCTAAGCTTGAGAAGTTTCAATTGTCAACACTCATTAAAGAATGATTATCAATCGCATCTGAGTTATGCATTTGATCATCAAATGATTCCCACGTCCCAAATCTTCCTTTCTTATTAACATGTTTAAACAATTTCTAAGATAAACAATGATAACCTTTGAACTAACTCTGAAGGAAAAGAAAAGGCCTCATAGAGAAGATTAATTTGTCAACACAAATACATTCGGACATATGCTTGTCTTTAAAATAAGTTTATAATCATCGGCCAAAAAAACAAGCAAATACAATAAATCATGAAACTAACTGAAATAATAAAAAGATGATTTTGTTTGGAGATCGGCAAAAAAAACAAGCAAATACAATAAATCATGAAACAAACTGAAATAATAAAAAGATGATTTTGTTTGGAGATCAAAGTAGACTCAGAATATGGGTGGTGATATAACAGGATGGTCGGCAAGGCTCTTTTAAAAGCCATTACGACGAACGAGACCTTTCATTATATCGTCATTGTCCACAAACTAAAAACTATCTATAATTTGTAAATTGTAAGTAATGTCAAACCAGATACAAATCTAATAGCATAAAACAAATAAAAAGGTAATTCCAACACAAAAAAGAGGCCAACAGCATTCACAAAGAGAAAAATTTCTTTTTCATGAAACAAGAAAAATACAGAATGTAGCACTAATCTACATTAAATATCTTTTAAAGACAATAATTAAACCCGAAGAAACCAATTTGAGATCCCAAATCCAAAACGCTTAAACATGTTGTAAGGTCAGATATTTAAGAGGCAATGAGTCATCAGATAGAAGCGAAAGACTATTTCAATACATTAATCAGTGATTGACAATCTCATCTGAACTATGCAATTGATCATCATATGAATCAATGTCACTCCTTATTCAATAAAATTTTAGTTCATGTTCTAACTTAAAGTTAACAAAATAAATACCATACAACTCTAAAGATTATAGTAGTCACCGAAGGAAGACAGATTATGCTTTACAAATTAAATTTTTATGAACCATTTCTCATCAAACTTTTAACAATCATTGGAAAGAAAGAAAAATAAAAAAGAGATGGCCTCATAGAGAAGATTAATTTGTCAACACATACATTCAGACATATGCTTGTCTTTGTTATAAGTTTATAATCATCGGCCAAAAATACAACATACAGTCATATATAAACAACTTATATCATGACACAACAGATAGAATAAAAAAAAAAGATTTTTATTTAAGGAGACTCAGCATAAAGATGGTCGGCAAGGCTCTTATACAAGCCATTACGACGAACGAGACCTTTATTATTCCATCATCATTGTCCCCAAACTACAACTATGTGTAGAATCCAAGTCCTAAAACCAAACATAATCCAACTACATGGAACAAGAAAGAGTAAACCCAATACATAAAAGACGATATCCAATTTTTTTTTAAATATATAAAAAAACAGGTATACATATTATTAGGGCTAGATCTACCCTCTCAAATTCTACCAATTCAATCAAATTAAACAAAATAATTATCACATAAAACAAGCTAAAACAAGTTTGTAATATTTCAAAAGAACTAAACACACATAATCTACAAAAACCTAAACATACATAATGCACAAAAATATCAACCAATGTTGTTACGAGATCAAACATGATTCATGAAACAAAAACAAAAAACAAACAAAATAATACAAATCAAACACTACATTAATCAAAAACATTAAACCCTAACAAAACATTTTAAAAAAATTAAAAATTTTGCTTTGTTTTAAAGAATCATAAGAGAATCAAACCTGATCCGAGGATTCTCTTGATATCGTCAGCGGTAGGTTCTTCGTTTCCGCCCAAACGAGCAAGCATATAAGCAGCGATAACCTTCATTGTTTTCTGAAAACAAAACTGCACAACAACAACAACAACAACAATGTACAACGAATAACGAAGATTTCAGTATCTTTAACTACGAAACAACGAGAAGAAAGATGAAGAAAAGAGAGAAGAAGAGAAAACTTACTTTGCGACGAGAAGAATTAGATCTGCAACACAAGGAGAAGCGCGATTGTGATTGATGGTAGGGTTCTGCACTTTTCAATCTATTTATAACCAAATCGAAAACAAACAGCCCTAGTTAGAATAGAATGCTAAACCGACTTTTTCTTTCCAGCCCTAGGGTCCAGCTCGTTTGGGTTTGTGGGCTTTGATTGGATATTAAACAAAGTCTGGCTTAGAATTGTTACATGGGCCGGACAAATGAAGTTGGATTGAGTATTAATGCCTGATTAGATTGGGCCAATACATTATGTGATTGGCCCAATGTTCCATGTCCTTCAAGCTGAGATAGAAGGGTCTGTTTGATTCGGGTCTAATCTCAATTTCTCATGTTTGATTACATGAAAAATAAACGGTAAATTTTTAAAATGAAATGATAAGCAAAAAAAATGGTGTTGTTGGGACATATTGGAGTTCAATGTTAATGAATTCTCACTAACAACTCGTGATTTTTAATGATTTTCATGACAAATATAGCACTATAGTTATTTTATAAAAAATTTATTTCCTGAATATTTGCATCTGGTAAATCTGTTTACCAAGAAACAGAATTCCTGTCCGAATCAAACAGACCCTAAGATTTTCATGAACACATAAGTACTTACAACGCAGTTTGCCAGTTTTAGATGGATGGCCACTTCAAATTAGTGCTCAAATGTCATAATTTTCCCAAATTTGTAGACACGCATGGCAATTGGCAACTAGGTCCCTGACCCCGAGTAGCAGTATTGCTTGAATAGCAAGGTGGCAATGTGGACACTTAAATGGCAGTAGTAGTAATAGCCTTCGGGCCTTGTTTTTTTAAGCCCTCGAGACCAATGCATGTAAGTTTTTGGGAATTGGGACATAGAATATTTATAATTAAAAAAAAATTTGAGTCTCTTCCTATTGAGAATTTTTGGCAATTTGTTCAAATTCGTGTGGTTTGCCTCTTCTTTAAAATTTTAGATTGCTCCATTTTCATAACATTCCCCTTGTTGAATGGATTAAAATGTGGTTTTACACACCAAAAAATTGGTTGGTACCAATAGATTCTTGGAGTTCTTTTTGTGTGACAGCCACTTGGCTAATCTGGAAAACAAGATGCATCAAAGTTCTTAAAAACAAACAATAGCAGCTAATATAGCGGCTAGACAGATTGATCTTGCAGTTAGCAAACAGGTTACTTGCCAGCAGTTCTTCCAAGTTCAAAGCGGTGTCCCAACAGATGACTCAATGACTGCATCACTATGGATACCACCAAGAGATGACTTCGTCAAAATTAATGTGGATGTGTCATTTCAGAATGTTGATTCCCCAATTGGCATTGGCTATCTTACAAGAAATTCTGCTGGGACCTTTCTTTATGCAGGCACTGAGTCTGGGAATGCTGGAACAGCAGAAGAAGGAGAATGCAGAGCCATCCTACAGGCTACCAAGGAAGCCAACAGACAGTAGTTAAAGAACATTGAGGGCGTGTTTGTTTTTTCCTCTTAGTAGAGGTTGAACATAGTAGAGCATCTATTAAGAGGTGGACCACAAAAGTGAGGTGTTTGTTTTTTATCTCTTATAAGAGGTTACTAGAGGTTTACCTCTTACAAGAGGCTTATTTCTAATAGGAGCAAAAGTCTTGCTATTAGCCTCTTATTAGAGGTAAGCATATTTAACCTACCTAAAATACCCATTGTCTTTTTCTTATCCCTAGTCCTTTTCTATGTAAACATAATTTTTCCTTCTTCTCTTTTCTCACCTTTGAAACTTTAAACGGCTACGACAAGGTTTCACTCCATTATTGAATCATCACCTTTTAGTAAGAAAAAACTTTTATTTATTTATTTATTAATTGTTCTATGCGATTGAACCTTGACCATTGTATTATTTTACACACAAAGATATAAACATCTCTATTGAAGTAATGATTAGTGCCCATACGTGATTCTACTGAAGTAGGTATTGATTAATGCCTATACGTGATTATTATACTACACTTATAAAATGTGTTTTGCTATTACGAGAGACATGCCAATATAAGAGGGGTATACATGTAAACTTTTTCTCTTATAAGAGGTTTTAAAAACAAACACCTCACCTCTTATAACTCTTATAAAAGGCAAAAAA